AGGATTTCTCTACTTATGCAGCTGCTAAGTATGTCTGGTCTGAAGATGAACTGAATAGGAAACCAGAACACGTTTACAAAATACTGAACAAAACAATATTTTCATTATTAGTTTATAATAACTTAGTGTGACTGTAAGTTAAATGCTATTGACAGTTTTCATTGATAGCTACATCCAATAATATACTCATTGTAATAATTATAATGACATTTTTATGATAGTATATAATTCTTAGTAACAACAACAGCCCTTACACTTCCTGTATAATAGTATCAGTTTGTGAATCAGCATATATTATATGATAATGATTTATTACTTTGTCTCATTAGGTGTGATATTATTATTAAAGTGCTTGTACTAATAAACATTGCACATGTACTGGGTACATTCCACATACACTGATATTCAATGATTGATGTATTTCAAGTCACTGCTAGTGGTGTGTTCCAGTAACTATTTCATGAGGTCCTATATACCACACACATCATACTCATACAGTGTATACTATATTTCAATTTACAGAAAAGCCTTAATTGTCAACCTATTCCTATTAATGATATTTTACAGTGTGTGACTAATATATAATTTTAGTTATCTCTTATGTATTATGACCTATTTACTCCTCACATGTAGCAACGTACTTTATTGTCAAAAATCATGAGTAAGAAAAATAAATATAACTCTGCGAAACCAGAAATGAGAGACAGAAAACTAGGATGAAAATCAGCACAGCTTGTTTAACAAATAATGGAATGTTTTATATGAGAGCAGCTGTTATAGGTGGTTTATAAATTTGATTATAGTACTCTACCAAACACCAAACACCTGCTCAATACCACAATCACTACTCTATAAAGTGTCATATTAAAAACACTGTAGTATTATCAATACTCTTTTACTCTTGGTATTATACAAGTACACAAAAGTAGAAAACATTATTATAGACTGTTAGGCCTACATGTATGCATGTACTTATGGTATGACCTTATAAACACTATATTACATTATATAAACTATATTAGTAGTGAGAAATCATAAAAAGGCATTTGCCATATAATCCTGGGAACTGTGTACATAGTATAATATTTTATTTCCTCCCTCCAGTAATAGTATCTCTCCCTCCCTCACACACTTCCTGTAGCTATATTATACCTAAACTGCTAACACATCTAGTCTATATACTATAGGCCCAGTCTCAGCTAAACCAAAAATGACCTCAGGTATATGCTATAGACTACACATTACATCTATTATGGCTGTTTATTTCTTATAGTGAACTATAGTATCAGCAACCCTCAAGATCGAAATGTCAGGAAAACTTTTAATAAAGGTATATTAATGATGTTATAATAGACTATTTGTACTGTATATGTTATAGATGATCATGGGAGGATCATGTCTTCACTGACTTCAATAGCCACAAAATATAAACCACTTGGAATTGAGTTTTGCATTCCTAAATTTAAAATTGA